TAACTTTTAAGAGAGAGAGAGTGGAAAGGTGAAGACGAAGTGAAGCCAATACTGAGATGAAAAATTGGGGGCCCACTTCCAGATTTTAGTCATTTTATTTTTTATTGCAATTTCACTTTGGCGACAATTTCCATCACTTTGTTGTGCTTCCCTCCAAAATGCTAATGCCACATCAGTATTTTTGAATCCCTGATTCTCAACCTATATTTTAGCCCATTCTTAGTGAAAAATGGGACTTAAATAGACTCTTGTAAGGTAAGGCTTGCAATGAACAACTTCAAGAGAAACTATTGACTTTGTTCAATGACGTCACAACTAATTTTTGAAACGCCCTGTTTGGGAGTAGAAGAGGCCGAACAAAGGATCAGATGAGAGCTGAGATCTGCTACCTAATTTTTACTGACTAATTTGTTGTCAATCCAATTAATTATTCACACATCATTTTTAAATTAATATGTCATCTCAAATATACTTCATTAACTTCATCACTAACCATCTAATTTATTACATTTCATTTAAAACGACATGTTAATAATTAATTGAATAGACAACAAATTAGACAGCAGATTAATTATATACTGTTGCTAAGTATTAGATTCGAACTAATAGATTAATCATATGGTAGATTCACAATGCTTAAAATTTCGTGACAAATAAACCAAAATGAGAAAAATTGTAAAAGAGGAAGGATTAATAGCAAAAGGTGGACAAATAGGACCTTAGTTATAGCCCCGTTTGGTACTTATTAAATTACATTTCATTACATTTTATTTTTCGCTTTCATATTTTCAACTACACAATCTTTCATAAAATAATATTACATATAAATCGAAAATTTTTCCTTCTTTTTGGATCACTCATTGTTCAAAAAAGCATCATTCCGACCATTTTCATTTCCAAATAATGGAGGCAAGATGGGGGCTATATATAGCTCCGATATAGTTGTGCTTTTTTGCCAGAATTTTACTAGATTATGATGAAAATTACTGTTAAAATTCATTGACATCTAGCAAGTTTCGAGAATTAGTGTGTTTGTCATACATTATTTAAGAAGAATGTATTATGAAATAGTGATTGTTGTTGAAATATATGGTTAGAAAAGAAAGAAAAATTTTGATTTACATATAATATTATTTTAATGAAAAATGTGTGGTTGAAAATGAATACAGAAAAAAAAATAATTCAAAAGGATGAAAGAAAATTGATTGCAAACAGGGGTTTATTGTGAATTGGAATGGTCAAATATGACGGCTAATGAAATGTATTTGAGTAATTTAAACACAATACAAGGGTAATATTGACCATTGCCGTTTCATGTGATGATTGATAAGCCAGTAAAAGTGCTCTTGTCAACTATCAAAAATTTGCTTTAAATCTTCTGAAAATCGCTCCTAGACGAGAGGCATAATAGGGTAAATGTTCGAATGAAAAGTAATATAGTACAGTAAAATTTTGATAATTAAATGTTCGATAAATTAACAAGCTCATTTAAAAAATAAAATTCTTCGTACCCAACTTGAGCAAGTGTACTAAATTAAAAACTATCTAAATAAATAAAATAATAATTTTTTGAGTTCCATTAAGGCTCGACGAATATATAAAATAATAATTGCTTTAATTCATAAATATTCGCACAAATTAACAAATAATTAATTTGACATTTTTTTTAATTCACCTCTTTTTTTCAAAGCATCAAAAGTTTTTTGCATTTTTTTTTTTTTTTTGCACCCTAACCAAACTCAACTTCAACCCGAATTTCTCGCACTTCACATACTACATTTAGTATTTTTTTTTCCTTCATTTTTTCATAATTTTTTTTATTTTGTGCAAAGTAATTATTTTTTTGCAATACACATACTACATTTGGCATATTGAAGTCGAATCAAGATCCGTTATCCAATTTTTCTGTCCATTTTGCTATTAATTCAATTAATTCTTAACATGTCATCAATAATTAATATGTTATCTCAAATTTACCGACATTAACTTTACCACTAACTCACTAAATTGATGTCTTAATAATTAATTGAATGAACAGTAAAATTGGACAACAGATCTTGACTTAATGAAGCCAATGCTTAATGCTTCATTTTTAATGTATGTATGTATGTTTTTTTTTGTGTACTTATAGACTAAATCTTAAATTTCACCCCATTCATTTTTATTTTTTATTTTTTGAATTTCCTATGGTAAAATATAATACAAATTATAAAAATATAAAATACTCTACCAATCAATAAATAACCATTTATCGTTAATTAATAAATTATTTATTTATCAATAAATTAATAACTCTCTAAAATAGTAATCCAAACATTATTGTTTTAAATATTTTGGAAAAAGAAAACAAGCCTGGTACTATAGATACAGATCAGTGGAGGGCCTAGCTCATTACTAATAGCCTTAAGCGTTATAAATTACATGAAGCGCACGAAACAAGGTTCATCCCCTCAATAAAATTTTGTCAGAGTAATGTTGTACTTACTGTTGAAAATGAACGAGGTAGTCACATCTTCAACAAATTAGCTTGTTAAGCGAATAATTGGTTCATCTGTTGAGTTTGCAAATGGGCTGAGCGGCTTGTCAGTTCTGACACGCAACTCGTAAAGTTTAAAAAATATTAGGAAGACTTGTTTATATTACTTCTTTTGACATGTATCATAGATCTCGATACAATTTCTCAGGTATTAAATATATAATTATTCAAATTTCAAAAATTTCAACTTTTAACACATCTATCACTTATAAAAATTTAAACCAAATTTTATGCGAAGTGTGTGAATTATATGCCTAACGAATGTGTGCAAATATTAATCGGGCACATTCTGCACCTACTCCTACCCCTAATTTTGAAGAAGATGAAGCTGAATATGGAATTTATTTGAAGGTAATTAACATGTATAGATATAATGTAGTATCTATTGCATATAATCAAGAATCTGATGCAAGTACAAATTCATTGTCTGCTGAATTAATTGATTACTTTAACCATCATATGCCTAGTTATTTATCAATTAGAAAAAGTTCACAAGTAATTGATTTTTGGTGAAAGTAAGAACAACAATGTACATGTGATTGCAAAAGACCTACTAACATTTCCAGTTAACATTGTAATTATGGAGTGTCCAAGATCGGGAGTCGAGTGAAAGAAGATGTTTTGGAAGCAATAATGTGCATACAAAATTGACAAGACACTTGTATCGACTGCAAAATAAGTATGTCGAAATTTCGTGCGTTAGATAAATGATATTTAATTAAATCATATTTGTTACGCTTCTATCTGAACCACTTCGAAAAGTGCTTCGGAAGTCCACAACTGCATCGAATATCTGAACCACTTCGAAAGTGGTAGCATGAGGTATCCACCACCAATCCGAAGTGCTTCGAAAGTCCACCACTACATCATACAAGGTATCCATCACCAACCTGAAGTGTTTCCGAAGTGACTCCACCATCAATGTCCGAGCGTTGCTAACGCACTGCGAGGCACAAAATAATTCTACTGAACTGACCAAAGTGTCCTTGACGCCAAAGCGCAATGTGCTCCGAGGTTCTCCTTCAGCGCTGCCACTTTCAGAAAGAGAATCTATGTCAAGATCCTCTCTACCCCCAAGGCCCATTGATTTGATGTCTCCATAGATCTAGTTGATGTGACGTATTAACTTTATGTCAACTCAACTCAGGAGAAGTTATTACTCGTCCACTCTATAGATGCGACTGGTTGACGCATATGAGCAGATGTCTCACGCCGTCAGATGCATACACGTGTCCCACATCTAACGGTTCTCCTCACCTATAAATACCCAATGTTTGACAAGAGGCAAAGGTAATGAAACTCTTGCAGCTTAACTCTCCATAACAAGAAAATATATATAATCTCCTCCTCACTCACTTGCACAACTCGGGCACTGTTCCGATCATCGGATACTAATTTGACCGTCGGAGTGTATACGGCCACCACCACCCCCAACTGGTTTCGCCCGTGTGCATCTGATCGTGTGTTGATTGCACGCAAGGAGGATCACATGGAGCAACTATCAGTTGGCCACGTATGAGGTCCAATCCACGAGATCAACAATATTAATAAAATTTGTTAATTCATAATACTATTTTTATTTTTTTTAAAATTATACAATCAACAAGTTATTCGTATACAATTTTAACTTCACGTACTCAAAATTTAAATAGTCGATCCCAAATTTGAATAAAGGATGAGGGATTTTAAAAATTTTAAAAATGAAAAATCAGTGAACTTGTGGGCAATAGGACCGAGCCGGCTTGGCCCATTACAACCCCTAGTTCAACATCAACATGGTATTAAAACTAACAATTATGTATTGAAAAATCAATTTTAAAGTGTAAGGAACTTGATGAAGACTTATCTTTTTTGGACTTGCTCCTTAAATATATATATACATTTAATTCTATTAAAGAGCAAACAATAACTTAAGTTAATGAAGCTTCAATCTTATCTTACTAAAATTTTGACACCTTAAAATTGTAATAATATGTCAAAATTTGAATGGTCCCATAGTCAAGAGAACATGGAGACGAGGACAAAACAGTGACTACAACGGTTTAAATCATTTGACCTAGCTTTATTAAAAAATAATAATAATAAGAGTAAACTACTTAACCGATTTTAGACCCGTTAAATAGTCCAAACTAGCTTGACCTCAGTAGAAAATTTACAAGGTCCAAATTAGACTAGCAGCATATTTCAACTTATTGTCGAATTTAAACTCTTAAATAATTAATTATAAGTAAACTTCTTAAGCTCAGTCTAACATGCGAGGAAGTAAATTAATTAATTATAAGTAAACTTCTTAAGCTCAGTCTAACATGCGAGGAAGAAAAAGAAAAGTTAGGTTTTTCTGTACAAAACAAAAAGGGAAGGACTCAAAAAAGTGGAGTTCCTTTCTGGCAGCAAGAAGATGAAAATAATATAAAGTGAAACACGCGTGACAATAATCCAAACAAACCCTAATAATAAAAGCAAAGAAAACGACCTAAAGGAATGAAAGAAATAATAGAAAAAGTCGCATCAAACCCTAAACATCCAATCCCACTGCCACTACCGAAAGTTTTCTCTCACTGCATATTCATCCACACCATGCAATCCGACAATTCGCCGGAAAATTCAAATTTTCATCATGTTCCTGACGGAAATGGCTTCATTTACGGATTTCCGGCGATGGAAAGTTACTGTAGTTCGTCGTTTTACCCCATGGAGGTGCCGGAATTTACGCATGCTCCAGCTGAAGTAAGAGCTCTTACTGCATCTGAGAGTCATAAAGAAGCTGAGAGGAAACGTAGAGAGAGAATCAACTGTCATCTTGATAGGCTTAGGAGCCTTCTTCTTTGCAATTCTAAAGTAAGTTAAGACTAATCTCTCCTTATCACACACAAACTTTAAAAGAAAAAAAAAACAAAAATGGATTTACTTCAAGTTTCGACAGAATTTTTATCTTTCATCTGATGTTTCATAATTCTTGATTGACCATGCTTTTTATTTACTTTATTAATTTCTTTCAGATTTTATATCCAAATTCAAATTGGCTCACGTTGTGCCCATCTGCTTGCGAGTAAAGATATGTTTTTGAGATGATATGGTTGTCAAAACAGAATCATTTCACCCCTCGGCCCTCTCTATTATATATTCAGCTATCATGGTGTCTTTTGAAAATTCAAAATATGCTCATGATGATGGTGACCTGAAAAAGAAATAAAGAATCAAAAAGTTTTGATTCTTTATTACTAGGGTTCATATCATTCATTGGTTTAATTGGGAAAGTTGTTTCATTTTTTCAGCTTTTTTCATATCATTTCTCCACTAATCAGATTTCTCTAGTTGTAATATAGAATATTTTTTATAGTTATAGTTCTAAATAGAGTATTTTCTAACTGTAAATTCGTATACAGAACAATTATACAAATTAATTTGTACCTTGAAGAATTTCTATCTCAAACCATAGTTTTTAACAAAATCTATTGTTAAATTTGTTCGTTTTATCATAAATTATTGCAGACAGATAAAGCTTCACTTCTTGCAAAGGTGGTTGAACGAGTGAGGGAATTGAAGCAGCAGACATCAGAAATAATGCAATCTGATCAAACTTTCCCTTCTGAGAGTGATGAAATCACAGTAATCCAAAATGAAAATAATTCTGCTGATGGAAAATCTCTGATCAAGGCTTCTCTTTGCTGTGAAGACCGGATCAATCTCTTTCCCGAACTTATCGAGATACTAAATTCGTTGCCTTTGAGTCCTTTGAAGGCAGAAATTGTAACATTGGGAGGAAGAATCAGAAATTTGATAGTATTGGCCAGTGATAAAGATCAGGCGGATGAATCTGTTGTGGCATTGAGAGATGCACTGAAAAGTCTAATACTACGTTCAAGTTATGGACCCGGAGAAGGTTCGAAAAGACGAAGAATACTTGGCCAAAGAGTCATAGGCTAGGGTAAGGTTAAGGTGGAAAAGAAATTAACCTTATTTTTTCTTGAATCTCGCTTGCAAATTTTAATGCATTTTAAGGAGATGGCTATCTTGTATTTGTGTTCTTGTTTGTGATACTTTTCCTTAATTCTGTAAAAGTTTGTCTTAGATAAACAAAATATAAGAATTTATGTTTGTTTTCAAGAGTTTGTGGATTCTGATAAATTCAGATTTTAGCAGATTTGATAAAAATCATATTTTTAGTAGATTTTGATAAAAAAAAAAAAAAAAAAATTGATGGAATATATGGTTGAAAAATTGTGGAGTTTATAAAATATGTGTTTAAAATTAATTGTTAAATTTAACTTAACCCTCGTTTGATAGCAATTTTTCACCCACCCCTAAAAATCAATTTTTTTTTTTATCCTTATTTCACTATTCAATCCCTCATTTTTTACTTCTTCACTCATAGATGAGACTCACTTTTTTCTCTAATGATCAAAAAATCAGTTCTCATAATCACTACCCGAATAGACCCTTAGATTTTAGTCCAATTCTCTAACGGGGATAAGCAGGGGCTACAGAGGGTATCTGGGTTGGAAATGTATATGTCTACTATTGTTTATACAAATTGAGGGCATATGTAACAAATAAAATTTACATTTATATGGACGCATGATTTATGTAAAAACTGAACTTGATAGCACCACTCAACAACCCATGAAATATTTTGCACATTCTTAATTTACAACATGTCAAGTTTTAAGTTATAACTCTCAAATTAGTTAAAATTGTAAAATTTAAAGTGCATAGTTGGATTGCATTAAAAGAATTTTAGCATAATTATAACTTATCTGGAAGTGTTAAAATTTAAACAAATAGAAATTACTAGAGGATAAGTAGTACTTATAAGTCCTACAAAATATTTAAGTAAAAATTGTTTTGATCTAAGTTGTTTATTATTTAAACAACTCCCAAATAAGCGCAACTCGTTGAATGATGTTATTTATCTTCATTGAGGGTAGATCACAACATGATGTTGCGAGTTATCAAAAATGAAATGATAAGATCAATTAACTATATAATTAGTAGACCTAGTCAATTAACTTTATTATTTAATGTCATATTTTATGGTGATCATCCGGACATATAGTAATCAATGCTCTATGGTGAATCTAATGGACTCTCTCTTTGGGTAAACTAAGAGCATCTCTAAGAGATTATTTATTTATAGAGAACGTTTTACTCTTTATTTTGAAAGTTGTCAGTACTTTATATCAAAAGGTTAAACAAAGAGAGAATCTACAGAGAACTAACAGGAGCAAATAATTTCGATTCTTATTGTTGAAATCTAGTTAATTGAAATTTCTCGGACTATTGAGATCACAAATTAAAAGTTGTTGGCAATGTGTATCAGAATTTTTGAAGACAACAATAACAACTAAGGTAGGAGAAATCAATATCCTATGATCAGTTCTCTTGAATTTGTGACATGTGACCTATGCATTATGACATGTTACCTGCTATATGTGACATGTGACCAATTCTCTTGGATCTGTGACTTATGGATATTAATATGTTACCTACGTGGATTTGTGACTTATGGTTATTAATATGTTACCTACGCAATATGACATATGACATGTGAACTATACCATATGAACCGTGATCTGCGAACTTGAATCTGTGATCTATTATCAGTGTATAAAGACATATAACGTATGATTCGTGATTAGATAATTTTGATCTGCGACATGTAGAGTATGACTTGTAGCCTATAGAGGGTGACCTATAATATGTAAACATGATCTATGACCAATTCTGTTTGATCTGTTATCTATGGACATTCATCTATGTCCAATGCACAATAACCTGTGACCTATCACCATCGCCAACACCATCGACTGATATCAACACGGTATTTAACATACATATTATGAACATGTGACCACCACCAGCATCACAAACCATCACAAAATCAACACAAAATTGCCGCAAAATCACTGTAATTGTGATATGAGGTTCTCCATTGTGCGCAGTGCTCAGCGCTCAGCGACTGACTGAGCATCGCTGGCTCAAATCTCCGCTGTACATGATATTGACGCTCAATTTACCGTTGTTGTCGACACTCATAGTGACGAGTGATGTCGTTGCTATGAGCATCGATAGCATTGCTGTAAGCGCTGATAAAGAAGGAAAAAAAGATAGTTATAGTAGAAAAGAAAATGGATAGGATAGAGAAATAAAGAAGAATAAAATGAAAAAAAGTTTGGAGTGAATTGGGATGGGATGAGGTGAGGTGGTGGGCAGATTTATTTTATTTTATATTTTATAATTAAAAAATTAATTATCACATGATTTTTGTCCAAAAAATTTTAAATCTTATTTTAGAAATTGAAATTTAAAAAACAGGTTCTGGAGGAATTTTCACTAAAATTATCGTGCCCAAGGGTTGGTGTAGAGGGATTGGATTGGGCCCACTTCATTTATAATGGGTAAAAGAAAAAGAATTATGTAATTTTTTTATTTTTTTTTTTACATATTAGTCCGATTTGAAATTTTTTTGGTAATGTCCTGAATTCTTTTTTGATTGTGCTTGATTTGAATGTCTAATTTGAAAATATATTAGAGCCAAGAAAAATGGTGTGGTGGTTTGAAAAAATAAAATAAATAATGAAGGTATACTGTCAAAAATAAACTATAAAAACATGCTATTTCACAGAATACTACATAATTCATTTTGTTGCAAAAAAGAAATTTTCACTTTACTTTTTGTTGCACTTTTTATAACACGTATTACAAAAATATAATCCGTGTAATACAATGTTATATATATATTTTTATTAAAGTTGTAAGATATGTGTTATACTTTTATCACACAGTAATGTACCTTGTTATGTTCGCATCAGATGTGTAACACAATTTGTTACATACATTGCTCTATCCCCACTACCACAATACCGCCAAACATGCATTATCACCCCATCCCATCAACATGAAAAATCACCACAAAATCCGCCATCATCAACAATTCGACATCAACATCACCCCATCCCACCAGCATCATAAAAGCACCAAAAATAAAAGTAAAAATAAAAAAATAAAGTCACCATTACGGCCCTCGCCACCGCACCATCATCGCTAGCCCATTTCACCATCACCAACATTTGACTGCCAAATCGTTACACCAACAATAAATAGGTCATTATAATACACGCACAAATGAATAATAATAATAATAATAATAATAATAATAATAATAATAATAATAAACATTCATCAAACATGATGGGGGAAAACCGAAAAAAAAAATTGTAATAAAGAAACATCTCTAACCAGAAGGACACTTAGAAATTTAAAAAATTGTGAATAAGTGATTAATATTTTTTGATTCCTCGGATAAAAAGTGAATTACATATTTATAAATAATTTATAAACATGGGCTCGTTTTTATATTTTTTAAATTAAATGAAAAAAAAATAAAAAAAATTGACAGTAGTAACTTAAACTCGTGGCTGCAAATGTTGGGACGGGACGGGACGGGACCATAATGTCGATATCTCGGTTCATAGCTGCGGCCACGTGGGACGACAGGCGGCTGTAGGATTGAGGCAATCGAGCCGACAGATGGCGTCACGCATTGAAGAATTTGTCGGGGTTGTGCGCTGTTTCTCTGCACAATTATTTCCAAACTTTACTTTTACTGCTCTGACAGTTTACCATGCCTGTCCCATTGGACTCTGTATTGTCCTTTTCTTTTCATTTTTTTTTTATTTCATAAATGAAAAAGTATTTTCAAATAATTAATTTTTATTTAATCAAGAGCTTGCGAGGTGAGCCGATTAATGAGATAACAAGCAATCGAAAAGGCCTCAACCTAAAAAATAAGAGGAACAGTAAAATGAAACAAAAGAGTTAAACATGTTTCAGTAATGTGACGATGCTTACGTTCAACTACACCATTTTGACTAATAGTATAAGAAAAATCAATACAAATATCAATCCCACAGTTTATCAAATGGGATCGAAATCTATTATTGGTGATGAAATTATCTTTTGAGTAATATCGATATGAGCCTCTATGGTATAATTAAATTCTAGATTTTAATTTTAATTAATAATTAATTTTTAGTCACATAATTCACCAAATTCACAACCTTTTAATCATATATTTCATCAACTTTTATAATAAGTTACTAGAAATCTGATTTTAATCCCCAATAAATGGGGTTGAACATTATTTGAAATTTGCTCAAAGTTTTTTTTTTTAATCAATCTTTTCAAATTTAATAAAAAGTTATGATCGTGTTTCTCTATAAATAATTCTAAATTTAGTATATTGGTACAATTTGCTTGAAAATTCTTTTTTTCGAATTTTATTTTAAATCACACATTTTTTTAATAAAATATTTTGCACATGCACCCATAATTTTTTCTACCTTCTTAATCACACATTAACCCAAAATAAATAAATAAATAAGATCCCAAATAAACGCTATGAATGGAAATGAGTTATGAATATACTGCTAAGAGTTATGTTCGTTTTTAGTGCCTGTGTTAATTTTCATCTCAATCTCTCCCTTTATTTTTTAGTAGATGCAAAAATTGAATTTTTGATTTCTTGTGAAATTTAACTTTAAATTGACTTTGATTTGCTTGATCTGACTTTCGAGAACTTAAAGTTCACGAAAATTATATTTCGATTTAAAACATCACAAGTATACGGTTCGTAACAAGTAATAGAGTGAAATTTAGAGTTCTGAATATCGTCCCACAGAGATTGAGTTAATTAAATTTTACCTATCTCGACCTTAATTGAAACCGAGTTGTCAAATGTGATGGTTGCAATTTCATTATACCTAAACTAGACTATGTATGCAATTATATATGAAATTAAATGTAAACTGATATTTAAATGCAAGTTTGATGAAATCAATGAATATGAAGCGCACTAGGATCGCGAATCCCCAAGCAATGCTCCCTTTTAACTCTAGTTCCACAATTTGACAACATATTAAATTTTTAAAGAATCAATGCTCATAAATATATCCAACAATATCACTCAAGTAATATTAAACATACTTCCATATACCACCAGCCTATATTTCTATGACAGGTGCAAATATGCAAGAATGCATGTGTTTTTATAAGCACTTTAAGATTCACACAAAGTATAGTGGTATATCTCTATCCTTTATCAAACTCT